AAATATTATTCGCCTGCATGGTGTGACTGTGTCTATTATCTCATATTGAGGCACTCAGTTTACATTGCATTTTTGGAGAGCCGTGCAGTGTGAGTTGGGCACACAGGTTGAGTTGAGTACGACATTTCATCCCAGATAGACAGACAGTCCGAGCGTATCATTCAAATCTTGAAGGACATACTGAAAGTTGTGTCATTAATTTTGGAGGCCAGTGGAATCAGTTTCTGTCGCTAGCAGAGTTGCTTACAATAGTAACTACCAATCGAGTATCTAGATGGCTCCATATGAGGCCTTATATGGGAGGCGATATCATCCTCCAATTGATTTGTTTGAGCTTGGGAAGGCTAGGTTATTGGGTACCTATTTGATTCGTGACGCTTTGGAGAAGGTGAAATTGATTTAGGAGCACCTTCGTACAACACAATCCAGGAAAAATAGTCATGCTGATAGGAAGGCTTCTGATGTGGCATTCATGGTGGGTGAGAAAGTTCTACTCAGAGTTTCGCCCATAAAGGGTGTGATGAGGTTAGGGAAGAAGGGCAAGTTGAGCCCTCGATGTATTGGCCCTTTCTATGTGTTTGGGAGAGTTGGAGAGGTGGACTACAAACTTACTTTGCCACCCAACTTATCGAGAGTTTATCCAGTGTTCCATGTTTCCATGCTTCAGAAGTACTATGAGGATCCATCCCATATGTTGGATTTTAGCTCGGTGCAATTGGAAGAGAATTTCACTTATAAAGAGGAGCCAGTGTCCTTTTTGGATAGGAAGGTTCGGAAGCTAAGGTCAACGGATATTTCATCAGTGAAGGTTCAATGGAGGGGTCAACCGGTCGAGGAGGGAACTTGGAGACTAAGCATGATATGCGGAGTAGATATCCTCACCTTTTCGGCATTTCAAGTATGACTCTAAACTCGTCGGAGGATGAACTTTTGATTAAGAAGAGGAGAATGTAACAACCCGGCTGGTCGTTTGTGTATTTTAGCCCAATTTTCCTATTTAATGCTCCCCGCATGTGTATTTGTTGTTATATGACTTGCGGGGATGGTTGGAATTGGTTTCAAGAAGGTTTTGGAGTGAACTGAAACACTTAGTCTCATTTTGGAAGCTTAAGCTGTAAGATTTGACCAAGGTTTGACTTTTGTGTAAATGACCTCGTATTCGTGTTTTGATGGTTTCAATAGGTTCGTATGGTAATTTTGGACTTAGGCGTATATCCAAATTTGGATTTAAAAGTTCCTAGGTTGATTTGGCTCTAATTGTCAAAAGTTGGAAATTTGAAGGTTTGAAAAATACATAAGTTTGATCTGGGGTTGACTTTGATGATATTGGATCTGGATTTTGGTTTAGGGAGCTGGAATAGGCCCTTTTAGTCATTTTGAGCTTGTGTGAAAAGTTTGGGTTCATTCTGTATTGGTTAGGCTTGAATCAGACGTTTGATTTGAAGTTGGAAGCTCATAAACTTATGAGAGCAATCTTGATCGATGATTCATGGTTTTGATATTAATTCCAGTTTTTTCTAGTTTTTTTGAACCTTTGGATAGGTTTAGGAAAGGTATTAGGACTTGTTTGTATGATTGGGGGGGGGGGGGTCCGGAGGGCCTCGGGTGTGTTTCAGATCATTTTTATCTTGTTGGCAGTCCTATTGCTGGTGCTTTCGCACTTGCAAGTTTTTGTCCGTAGGTGCGAGTCCGCATAAGTGGACAATTAGCTGCAGAAGCGAAGTATGGCTGGGGGTAGCAGAGTTCGCAGATGCGAAAGAATTTGCGCATAAGCGATGTTGCTTCTGCAGGGTCGTGTGCGCAAAAACGATAGTGGAGCGCATGTGCAGATGGTCGAGGACTTAAGTGAGCTCGCAAAAGCGAGCATTTTTTCCGCAGAAGCATAGTCGCAGAAGCGATAATTTTGTCTACAAAAGCGAAAATCACTGGGCAGATTAAAATAACGAGGGTTTGGTCTATTTTTTATTGTTTGGAGTTTTGGAGCTCTACTAGAGGCAATTTTTTCACCACTCTTTGAAGGGAAAATAATCTTACTTGATTTTGATGTTACATATTGTTTCCCCATGGATTACTACACCTAGACCATGTGACTTAAAGGAAAAATTTGGGGTTTTGGCTATGATTTTGGAGAGTAAAAATTAGAGTTATGGGGGTAGATTGAAGTCGGATTTTGATGAAACTTGTATAACTTGACTCATTGGAATGGATCTTCAGGATTTGTAAGTTTTGTCGGGTTACAGGGTACGGGCGCAAGTTGACTTTGTGTAATTGCATAAAGATCGAAGCTTTGTTGTTTGGGGTTGTTTCATATGACCTTATTTAATGTTATCGATTTGGAGGTTGATTCGCGCGGGAAGGAATTTTTAGAGTATTGATTCGGCTTTCTTGAGGTAAGTATCGTGCCTAAACTTGGTTGAGGCACTAGTTGCCTGGGTTATTAGTATTGGCTACGTGTTATGGGTGGTGCACATGCGAGAGGTTGAGCCCATGTGCGTGCATCGGGATTTTATCCATGATTGGGGTAGTACTGAGGCTAATTTATGCCATAAATTGACTGTTAAGCTTCTTGCTATCATGTTTCTTATGTTTGTGCCCCTTTGTGGACTAATTGAATCATGGTAGAGGTTACATGTAGGTTAATCTCCTATTCAAATATGATAATTGCTCTTTTGTAGCGTAAACGCCTAATTTGAGCTATGGTAGTACACTTCGCACGTGCATACACCTTAGCATGTCACTTATATCAGTTCATGAAAATGTGAATTGTTATCCATTATTCATGTACATGTATTCTTCTATATGATTTTTGTGTGATATGGACTGGACTGATAGTACGTGAGTGGTCCGTGCGGGTTGAATTATGACATTACGTGAGTGGTCTGTGCGGTTGTATATATGGCACGTGAGTTATTTGTGCAACATGTGGATAAATCCCTCCCCCTAGGGTCACCCTCTCATGTTTTTTCTCTTGATAGTGTACACGCGATATAAGAAAAAACTTATCAGTGTTTGGTTTTTGCATCTCTTCTCTATTTATAAATACACCTTGGATGTATTCATATTTTATTCGCATATCTTCTTTTTATGCTAGATCTGGAATGTATACATGCCTCGTTGTTCATATCTTCTCTATTGGTTCGATTAGTGCGAGCACGACACATATTGTTTGGTTCAATTAGTGCGAGCACGTCACATATCTCCTCTATATGTCTACTTGTGGACACGAGATTTGATCATATATGCATATCTTCTCTATATGCTATGTTGTGAACTGATACAGGATTTGGCACATCTTCTCTATGTGCACAGATTTCGGTTATATTTGTATTTGATGTTTGGCGGAGTACCATTGTTGTGTACGTGTACATGTTGTGAACTGAGTAGGGTTTTAGCGTGTATCATTGATAATTCTTGTCACTATTACCTCGCTAAGGTTAGTCATGATACTTGTTGAGTACATGGGGTCGGTTGTACTCATACTACACTCTACATTTAATTGTGCAAATCCAGGTGTTGGACCCAGCTAGGAGCTATCCGTGTTTGTTGTGAGTTGCAGAGAGACGAGGCAGAGCTGCATTCCGATCGCAGTTCTTGACGTCTCTTTCCATTGCAGTTACTATTGTTGTTATTCATATAGTATTTCTATTTCGTATTTTCACACTTTACTTCTATTGTAGAGCTTATGACTCTGTATTGCTAGTTTTGGGTGATTTTATGTATTGGCATAATTTATTTATGACATTTGATTTTAGATTTGTACTATTTCTGTTAATTTTGTTATCTTGTTCCACTTTTGTTATGCTTGGCTTGCCTAGCAAGTGAGTAGCGTCATCACGACCGGATAGTGATTTTTGGGTCATGGCATTGACACTCTCCGTTGACGATTCAAATTTTTCCTATGCAACCATCATATATATATATATATATATATATATATATATATGTTATATAACTATTAATATTTACCAAGTTGATTTCTTAATTTTGGTTCAAATACTTCCTAAACTAAATTCAATTTTCTAGCTTGGATACACTTTATTTCGGTCGTATTCATTAATTTTTTTTTGTATATAACACATGTTTTCAATAAAAGGATAATTTAAGCATGTATCAAAATCTGAATTTTCGCTAATTAGAGTTTGGGGGGGGGGGGGGGGGAGTGTTTGTGTATGAAGTTCTCCTTGGTAAGGAGTATTAAAATAACTCCGGAATAGTAATAAATCATTAGGTTCCGAACACAAAGCAATATATCTATGCAAAGGCCTGGGGTGGCTATTGGCGTTCATACACATATGAACAAATTTTGTCAACCGTTGTATGGCCCATCTTCAAGCAACGTCTGTAGCAGTAGTAGCATTAATATAACTGATGTACCATAGTATAGCTTTGTCTCCTTCTAGCAGTACAACTACTATAATTGATGTAGCGAGGCACCAAAGTGCAGGTTCTCCTCTTCCTAGTACTTTTTGTAACGCTGCCCATGAGCAGCCGCTCCCTGTAACACCTCTTTAATTATAATATAAAGTAGTCGTTAAAAACCAAAAAAGAAAAAACAAACAAAAATATGTCAGAGAACAAGTGCAAAATGGTAATTTCATAAAGTTCTAAAAGTAGCATTATGGGCTCCTCAGTTATTCGTAAATTATAATTTTAGTCTTTGTGATATGTGACTACTGACTAGGTACATTTAATCTTCAATTTGTTAAAATATGCATTTTGGGTCGCTTTATGTAGGAAATATATTATATTGAGCCTATTTTTACTATATTATCCTCAATTATGGAGTAACAATACAAACTTAATATAACACACGTATATATAATTCCTTAAATTTGTGAAGATTCACAGGGATCAAAACTGGGCATTTCAATTAGTTGGAGGTTAAATTTGTTTTAGTTAGATATTACAAAGACTAAAATTAGAGCTCGTCAACATTTGAGGGACTAAAAGTAAAACATTTCCTTACAATATGTTTTTGATTTGGGGGGGGGGGGGGGGGGTTGGGTAAGTTTGGGCATTTTCTGTGCAGCGTGGACAGTGGACTTTGCCGGAAATTAACTTTTTTTTGAAGGGACGATGATATCAACATCTATGGAGACAGAGGTAAGATTAAGCTCTGGTGTATTAATTAAACTAGTACCATTTGTGCATTGAATTCCTATCTTATTTTCTTCACATGTATCCAACTGCTTGCTCAGTTATGCTACTTATTTAGTGAAGTAATCTAATTTCTTGGGATGATTGTAATAACTGGACGTGCCAGAGCTTTGATTTGATAACAAAAGGTTTCCTTTTTGGTGGTTGGGGGGGGGGGGGGGTATTTTTTAAAGCTTTTAATTTTTTTGTGGTATGTTTTCCAAAAACTTCACTTTAGAAGACAAAAAATAACCCCTTAATAACCATACTAGAATTTTTCCTTATACCGAGGAATTAAACAATTGATATATAATCAAGAAAACTCATTTGTTTCTTTGCTTGCACAATATAATTTTCCATCGAATTGAATCTCCTTATTCCTACCTAGCTCTTCCCCTGGAATGACATGGAAATTTTTGAAAAAGAGTAATATTGTTAGCAAACTAAGTTATATTGTTTCTCTTTTGCAATTGATGGTGTCCTAGCTGCATTGCGCACGTTTCGACTAATCCACGGGGTAGTATGTCCAATCCACGAGCACCGGTTGCCAAGGTAACCCGGTCAGCCTAGATATACCGTATAACAACCATAAAGAACTTATTTATCAATTTCACTTTGTCATGACTCATGATAAGTATAATTATCCATGGCTAAAGTAACATAAAGTATCAAAAATTTAACAACGCAAGAACACCATTAATCTATTCGAGGGACTCTTGTTATGTTATTACATTTCAAGTGCATGAGTCTGAAAATATAACAGAAAACAAAAAAATTGGACAAGAGAACACCAGCATCAGCATGTAAGATATTTGATGGCCTTGCTTCATAGGCACTGCCGGCACCCCAAAAAGAGGTAACCAAAGATAACTATTGTTCACCTAGAAAACTTAAAGAGGAGTAATTGAATAGGTTTAGCCAAGTAATAGTTTTTTTAATGAGTTGAAATGTAAACATTGATTCATTTAGTCAATGTTGATTCTGTGAGTTTAACTAGTTCATAGATTCAGTTCTTCTTTTTGTGTTACCTATTTGTCTGAGATAATTGTAAGTTATGGTCTTGATCAGGATTCGGCCGTTCAGGATTATTCAAGTGCACACCTAATTCTGCCATCTCTTACTTGTACCAACAATGAATATTCTTCAGATGCTTTTGTTGTGTCATTTGTAAGTTATCATATATAGAGAGTAAACAGAAAGTCACCGCATATTCTTAACATATCTGAGCCAAATTGGCCAAGAGTCCACAACACAATCCAATTAAAGAGTATGGAAGACAACTAAAACGACGACATGTAGGCAATAAACTATGCCATCTTGTTTAAAGTTCAAGACTTTATCTGAGCCTGTCATAAGATTAATCCAATAGATGTGGTCCCTCACTCCACTCACTAATACCCGTTCTCAAATATACTCACTGTATCACTCCTCCGAGGAAAAATATTGGAGAAAGGAGGTCTGTAGAATTCAGCAAAGGCTCAGTCAACGCCTTCCATCTACCCATTTATCTAACAAAAGAGCTATTTCAGATTTTGAGGGGAATTCATTTTCCATAAGAAACTTGAGAGAAAAACCCTTGATATTTCTTAGAAATATTCAAACCTTAAAATAATACAAAAATATTTTCTATCTTTAGTTTTTGGTTGTATTGTAATTCAAATTCAGAAAACCCCTAAAGAATAAATTGATTGTTCTATGTTCCTTCTTGTTATCAAAAGTTAAAGCTGGAAGTAGAATATAGTTGAGTTGGATCTTAATATATTGCAAAAGTTTGGTGCTAACATCCATTTTTGTTCCTTCTCTATGTATTTATTTATAATGTTGGTACTATGAATCAAAGCTTTTGAAGAGCCATTTAAGATGAGTTGGATTCTATGGTGTTTAGTTGCTTAGATTTAATATCTGTTTCTGGAGAGGAGTATTTTCATATGAACGTTGAGTTTTCAGTGATAATTAGGGTTTTCTGACTTTAGGTTTTCTTCAATTTATTTTGGTGTGTTCTCTTTAGAGTTTAATCATCTTAAATAAAATTGGGTGAAGTCTCTGTTGTTGGTTTTAATCAATCTAAATATAAAAGTAAGCTAAAATTCAAATTAGAGGCTTTAAGCTAGACATTGATAAGTAGTCAAGTGTTTTCCTTGTCCATACCAGTAGTATTAGTGTTAGTCTTGTATTTTCTTAGTCGTCGAGTTCTATTACTAATTGTTGTTTCTTTCGCTTTGATGTTTTTATAACTTGATAGTTGGTGTTATTGCTTGTTGATACTGCTTCTTTTTTCATCTTTCTTTGAGTCGAGTTCTACCAGAAACAACATCTCTACCTTCTCAAGGTAGGGGTAAGATTTGCGTACACACTATCCTTCCCCAAACCCCACTTGTGGGATTTCACTGGGTTTGTTGTTGTTGTTTTTGTTTTACCGAGCTGCATAAACCGAACTGAAAAGTGAAAACTTTGGTATGATATTGGTTATAACATTTTTAAAAGTCGAAAATCGAAAGTACCGATCCAAAATCTTTCAAAATCATACCAAACTAACCGATGAACACCCGCATTGCTGGAGCTTAGTCATACACTTTTGAGAGGATTCGTGAATTAAAATTAGACTGCACATAATTATCTTTTCTTGTTCCTAAAAATTACTAATTTCCATTTTCCAAGAAACTTGTGGCCGTTAGTGATAATTTTTGTAAATGCTTAATATTGTTTATTTAACTGGTATCTTCATTTCTTCACATGTAATTTCTCTATGGTTGTTTTCCAAAATTTCCAACTTTAGAAGACAAGAAACTGAATATTTTTGAACTTGGTGTCTAACCCCCTTCCCCTTCCCTTAAAAGGATTAAAGGAATCATGGCTCATCAAGTGTAATTTGGAATGACCGTTTACCCTTCTTGACAAAATCTGTGTTTATATATTTTAATGGTCCATGGAGTTACTTTCTGGTTTAGGTTGGATTTGCTTACTGTTGGAATGACATTACATTGGCAACTAGGGTATGTAATACCGCAGTACTTATTAGTGTCGACTTTGACATGGATGGAAAATTTTGACATTACATGTATCATAATACATAGCCTAGATTTACCATTTAACAAGCCATGAAGAACTTATTTATCAATTTCACTTTGTAACAGCATAATCATCCATGACTAAAGTACAAGAAATATCGACAGTGTAACAGCATAAGAGCACCATTGCTTATTGAATCAAATTGAGGGGCTCTTGTAACTTATTTATCAACTTCACTTTGTCATGACAAGCATACTTATCCATGACTAAAGTAACAAAAAGTATCAACAGTTTAACACCGTTAGGACACAAATCCTATTTGAATCCAATCGAAGGACTCTTGTTGTGTTGTCATATTTCAAGTGCATGAGTCTGAAAATACAACATAAACAAAATAAAACTGGACAGGAGAACACCAACATGTAACATATACGATGGCCTTGCTTCATAGGCATTGCTAGCACCCCAGCAAAGGTGACCGGGATAGCTATTGTCCAAATAGAGAGCTTAAATAGGAGGCGAGATTGAATAAGTTTGACCACGTAATGGCTTTATTAATGAGTTGAAATGTAAACATCCATTCATGTAGTCAATGCTGATTCTGTGAGTTAACTAGTTCAGAGATTCTGTTCATCCTTTTGTGTTACCTATTTTTGTTTGACATAAGTTATGGTAAGTCATGATCTTGATCAGGATTTAGTCATTCCGGATTTATCAAGTGCACAACTAATTCAGCCTTCTCTTCCTTGTACCAGCAATGGATATTATAAAATCAGGTTCGAGATGCTTTTCTTCTGCCATTTCCAGTTGTCATGTATAGAGGGTATAGAGAAAGTTCACTGTGCATTATAATCAGTCTGCAAAAGTAATTGATGTGTCATTTAATATGGCTCATGGACTACACTAAGCTTTTCTCATGTACTGAAAAATACATGAGATCTTGGATCTATGATTGTTGATGTTTCAGTTTTGTGATTCTCATTTCCTTCGCTTAAAATCTTATTTTAGAGGTATTTCAGCTTGATTCAATTTGGATAATCATCTAAGCTCAAAATATCTATTTCACATGTCTTAATAGTTTGTCTCCCTTTTAGATATGAACAAAAAGTTGCAAAAGTGGACATGTACCGTCACAAGCTGGCCACCAAAAAGGTCGCCCGCGTATTTACTTAATTTTCTTATTGGCTTTTTGTCCAAAATTTCCATATACATAATTCTGTTTCTGAGATCACTACTTTCTGTTTAGGAGGTATATCTATTCTACAAGTTCCTAGTGTTTGGACCAGATTTCTTAGTAATCCTTGCATGTTAAAATCCAAAACAAAGCTATGGATGGCAAGGGTACTTTTGGCTTGGTCTAATTCGGCTCATTCTAAAATTAAGCCTTTGATGAGTTAGTTTTTCCATTAATATCTCTGAATATGTGATAGATTACTTGCATAAGTCTCATTTGATTATCTATTGTCTTGGCATTTTACAGTTTCTTGCTATAATCTAACCGCATATGTTACTCTTTGGCAACTTGGTTATAGCAAGCCGAACATCCAGAAATTAAAACTAGACAACAGCGATATCTGCCCTTATGATAACCTCCTGCACAAGGGGGGACCTTCTGTGAATCAGGAGTATTTCACAAAGATAGAGGAGGTGCAACTTTGTCTAGACAAGGTATATTATTTGCTAATTTTACCTAGTCATTTTCACTTGAAACGCCTGATGAATGCCTGTGTGGATTTTTTCTTGGATAACTTAAATCGCATGTTTGGGCTCGAAACATTTGTTGTTTTTGCAGCTCAATCTGCTCTCAAATGTCACAGGTGCATTGCTTTTTGGAGAAAGTTAAACTAGCTCTCGAGAAAGTTATGAGTGCTTTCCACCCTGCACACAACTAGTTGCTTCTGTATTGAGTGGCAGTTTTAAAAATGAGTATGTTGCATAATACTGAGATATGATGTTGAGAGTGGGAAGAATGATCAATGATCAATGATCAAAGGAGCTATTACATTCAATCAATGCTAAGACATTGAGGCATTTCAACATTCCCTCTCTACAATGTTTGTTTCATATAATGTGGATAGGTTATTATATGGTTCTTATTATCAGCATAATGGTGTCTATTTGTATGCTGGAACTGGAAGAATAGAATCATATGAATAACACGATCCAGTAAAGAATCTGCTTACTGATAGCCTCTCTGCAGAACTTTGTAGTTGACATGGATCACTTCTGCAAATGAGTTGGTTTCATGGCTTGTTTTTATTAGCTTCATTAGCTTGTAAAACAATACCTGAGGCCAAATGTATCTGCAGTGGAGAATCTTTTTTTAAACCACTAGGTATATGTGCTTATAAACAGCTTCAATATGGCTTTTGGCGTGTTACAGATATTACCTGAATGACCTACAAGAAGGTTGATACTTGATACTGTTGGTCTCCAGATCTTCCATATTTTGGCCTTCTGTTCTTACTAAAGAATCCTCTTGGAGATCACTCTGTTCCCTTTGTTTTTGTCCTGGAAAGCTACTTGCATGAAAATGGTTTAATATTATCCAAAAAGCAAAAACTAGTTATTGCTTTGGATGTTTTCATCACAAATACATAGATATCATTACTTAAAGCTAGTTAATAGACATAAACACAAATTGTAACAGAGAATGAGGGACTCATATGACATATGCATTGCCCTAGTCCCAGTCTTGCATTGTGTGGAAGCGAATGCTTTTCCTTTGCTGCATTTTGCATTGTGTTGCATCATATCAGGTTATTTGGTGGGCATCGCTTAATACAAATACAGGTTTAATGCGTTTGAGAAGAGTGCCATATATCCTGACGTTTTCAAAGTTTGAAATTCTGAATTAATTGTTGACGCAGTTTTTGCTTTCCTTTTTCTTTTTGAAGTTCAAAATGAATGGTGCTTTGTTGCAGGTAAGGGAGATGGTTAGGCCCGGTTGTCCACCACACATGCTGAATGTGGCCTTGACTTCCATGTCAATGCTCGTTACAACCCTGTCTAAGATGTCTTCGAAACCATACCCACCTTCATCTTTATAAATATGGCAGTAGCAGCGTAGATCGCGGTGTTGTAAACTAACATCAGTAAATTTACATCTACAGTTGTACATATGTAAGTTGAAATGATGGTTGTTAAAGCTTTATTCTCTCATCTCTACTTGCATCAGGGGTCAGGCAGGTGTTTAAGTTACTATTCCCTTTGTTCCCATTTAGTTGTCAGGATAAGTTGTTTATTTCACTTCATTTCCAACATATAGTTGGTTGGATACTCGTATAATTGGAAATTATAACTGGTGGGTAACCTTCTTTTACCTTGTATTTGATGTCTATCGTCTTTCGATCCGTATCACTATTCATTTTGATTTGTTATTATTTTGACTATAATAATATATGTATCATTAAATCCTCTCTTTTATTTATCTAATTCTAATATTGTAAAAAATTATTTTAGAATTTAGTGAAAAAAGAAGGTCCGTTTATATTTCCTAAACCTGCTAATGAATCCAAAATATTGTAGGAGTAGGTTGCGTGCAGGTAAAGCACAACTTGATTTATATATACCTTCAGTTATGAGAATTACCCAGCTTAATTAGATTTACAGAGCCCTAGATAGAGCTGAATAGCAATGGAAGTAGGCGATGCTTCACCAAATGTTTTGTATCTCCGCGGTTATGGAAAGAGGAACGAATTGTGGTTCCGCGTCGTGATGACAAAAGAGGATGGCAGACGAGGTGAAAGGCAAACAATTGAACCTGTTGCGAAGCTCAGTCGGCAGACTTATGGAGTTGCAGGAAGCTGGACCGTTGTTGGTGATGAAGACATCTACTGGATTGGTGGATACAGTTATGGTGATGACAGGGCTATTGTTCGTTCCCAATTGCATAAACATAACATCATCAAACATTCTTTTGACCCTAGCCTTTGGGAACCCGTATCATCTCCCATGGATATTCCCCGTAGCAAGCCCTTCCTCGCTGCCGTTGGTACAAAGCTATATGCTGTGGCCGGCACTGAGCACTACGCATGGGGTGATAAGCATGAGAATCCAATTTGGAAAAGATGTGGTCAAGTTTACGACCTCCATGAGAAAACTTGGAAATACCTGATGCCGCATATCAAAAATTTTGAAAGCTATGGTGCCGATAGAGCTGCTCTTGTGGAAAAGAAGATGGTGAGGAGCCAACGGAAATTGTGTATTATTCCTTGGATGTGGGTTCCGTGCTGTTTATTGACTTTACTAGTGGTGAGTTGCGCCCCATTCTAGGCCTTGATTCCCTTGATTTGTGGCGGCGACGTACTTGGGATCCTCCCCCAAAAGGTTTGAAAGGTTGTGAAGCCGACGCCTCCGCGCTGAAATATGTTACCGCACACGTACCGGCGGTGTTCAGTAATAATACATTATATTGGTTCACTCATAGCCTGCGCTTATATGGATATGATATTGTCCGTCAAACTTGGTTACGTTCAAAGAGTCTTGAAAAGAAATTGCCCACACTTGAACCTGTGGTTTCCGCAAGATATCCTACATCCCCTATTTTGATTGGCCCGCAAAATGGAAATTTTTTTGTGATCATTGCTGAAATAGATGGTGGAAAATTTACAATAGCCTCCTTCACGGTCGCCAGAGAGCACAACTCTTTAATTCTGTCCTTAGAGTCGTTAAGGCTTTCCGCGTTGGTGGTGGTGAATCTTTTCTGCCCGTGGATGGGAAAGCAATGTTGAAGAATACTGTATCTGCACCGAAAAAGAAAAGAAGAAGAATACTGGCCGGATCGGCTGCTATGCAAGGACAAGTCAAATCTGCAACGACAACCTAATGGGAAATCTCGTCCCAAGGGTTGTGCCGCTCTTGTTACGTTGGTTCTTTAAGTTTGTTTACGAGTAACAATTAAATTTGTTTGTGGTTTTAAAGATATGTCATTTAGTTCAATACTAACTAATAATCAAGGAATCTAACGTATAAATGACAGAAGTAAGTTGAATCAAACCAGTGGTTAAGCAAGTCTCGACCTCGAGCTGTGATGGCCTCGAGGTTGGTCAACAAGAACAGTAAAATAAAGACAATGAAGTTAAGAGACAATTCTGATGAAATATGAGCAATAAAGTAAGAGAGTATATTCTGTTAAAATATCATGGTATAGCAAGTTTTCACACTGGTCAATGAAAAATAGCCAGCGTTTATCAAGTCAATGAAAAATAGCCACTATTTTGCTGCAACAGGGACCCGTCCAGTATAATAGACGGGAGTTCTGGTGCATTTGTGTACGAACTCCAGCATATTATGCTGGACCGGTATACTTTGCTAACTCCTGTAAAATTTGCGGGAGACTGGAGCACCAGTGCTCCAAACTCCAGTATATTATACTGGACAATTATACTTGCTGGAACTCCGGTAACATTTGCGGGAGTTCCAGCATAATTATGCTTGAACTCCCGTAAAATTTGCGGGAGTTCCAGCATAGTTATCCTGGAACTCCCGTAAAATTTACGGGAGTTCAAGCATACTTATGCTGGAACTCCCGTAAAATTTGCGGGCGTATTTTTCCGGATTTTGAACAGTGTTTTCGCTCAGATTTAAAGTGGCTAAATTTCGATGACTTTTGAAACTTGGCTATTTTCAACGACCACTGGTAAATCTGGCTATTTTTGAATTTCTCCCCAAATTTTGGGAGTCACATCCCGAAACGGTTTCATGGTGTTAAGTGATTAGAGCAAAAAATAAAGTGATGACTAGATCTACCAAATATAATGCAAATTTTGTTGAGTTTTTATAGAATCAACTACCTTCCTTTAGATCTTCATATTCTTCTTATTGATGTAGAGGGGAGAGCCTCCCTTATTTTTCTTTTTTCTTTTTTTAGATTTTCCTTCGAGTTCTGGTATCTGCATTAGAAGCTGGCTAAATTGGAATTCACGCCAGGAAAATCCATATTGAGCTTAAACTCGAAACCCTCTGGTTAAGGATGAAGGAGATTCCCTTAGTTTTCTTAAGTATTCAACTATGAGATATGTACATATTTGGTATTAATAAACAAGAAAGAAAGAATGAAGGCTTTCCTTATTATTATTCAAAATGGATAGAGATCGTAGTGTAAACTTTATTAGATTCTCATAATGTACTTCAAGTGTTGTCTACACAAAGTCTTCCTTCTTGGAAAGTTACTATAATAGAGGGTATTTGGCATCTTAGTCTTACCTAGAGAAATTTTTTATTTAATTAGTTGGAAATGCGAAGATTGCAGTCAGATGATTGTTACTATTTTGTTCAGTTTTCTCTTATATATTTCATAGATTTGAAATCATTATTTTTTCAGGCCAATTGTATATATGGTTAAAACTCATTCCCGCAGTTAACTACTGCATCAGTAGAAACCATAACTTTCGGAGGGGGGGAGGGGGGAGGGGGGAGCACCCCTCCATTATGTGGTGGCTCTACCTTTCTAGTTTCTACTAGGTTTGTTTAGGATTTACATATTGTACAGACCTTGCTAATTCTTCACAACACTACATATAAGCTTCGAAATACTTTTTTCACTCCAAAAAAAAAAAGTTAAAACGACATTGTAAGCATGTGGGTCCATTGTGGACGATATTGAAATTTATGAATGCTTTCAACAGTTGTAATTACTTTATTAAATTTCATGTCTTTAAAAGCCAGTTTCACGATTTAACATACATGATTAATTTTTTATTTTAAGTTCTAATTGTATTGGGAAAAAAATAAATTTAAATATTGAAGATGACGTGTCATGACACGTGGACCGGTCAAAGAGTCAAAGCGTGGTAATCAGTTAGAAGGCACGAGCAACAACAGATGCCGGAGAGAAGATGCTTAAAGACACGAGCTATTATTCAAATGAAACGAGACTCGTACCTGTTCGAGTCATTTAAAGCTCGAAGATCAGAAGGAATTGAAGACATTAATCTGATAGCGAAAAAGAGTCCAAATTCAGCATTAAATGCCAAATACGTAAGAGAATTTGTATTTATTATGAATGATTGAGTAACGTTTCTTTTAATGTCATTTATTGCTCGTAATTGCCTCATTAAGACAAAGTCATTACACTTTCTCTTAAAATTAACTATAAAAAGAGAAAGTCACAACATCTGTAGGGGACAAAAAAAATATTACGGGAATAAACTTTGTTCTTTTTGTTTTCTGATTATATCATTCAAAATCTCTTTCTTATATACTTTTTCGATTATCAGTAACCCGAGTTCTTCTAAATTAAAGCTTTGACCTAAAATCTAATTTTTGGTTAAACAAATTGGTTCCGTTACCGGGAATCTGATAATCAAGCATATCTCAATCTAATTTTCTTAATTACATCAACCATGTCGAACAACAATGACAACACTCAAGGAAACCCAGAAATTCAGACAATCCAACAACTTCAGGGAGATTCCCCACAAGGCTCTCCACAAGGTTCTCCACGAGGCTCCCCACGACGGTCTCGTGAAGGCACTCCTGATGGATCTCACACAGATGGACAGGCTCAATTCGAAAATGTTGAAACCATGAATGAGGCTCTGCAAAAACTTATTGCCTCTCAAGTCAATAACGCTCTTCAAGCTTTTGTTAGCCAATTACCTGCTGTTCCACCCACATCTACTTCACACAACAACACTTTGGAGAATCCTCGTTCAGGATTGGTTAATTCAGGCAGCGGTGGAACCCCTAGTGAAACACAAGAGAGAGACCTAGGTAATCCAGTTAACTCTGATTTGCAAAATCTAGTACTAACCTTGCAGAAACAGCTTAAGGAGCAAAATGAACGCATAGAGCAAATACCTGGAGTACCGCCCGTGATCAAGGGAGTGGATATAGATAAATATTCCCAACAACCATGGAAGCCAAGTGCTGCTCCCCTCCCAATTCCAAAGAAGTTTAAGATGCCTGATATTCCAAAGTATGACGGTACATCAGATCCACGAGATCACGTTACTGCATTCATAACAGGTGTCAAGGGCAATGATTTGTGTCACGACCCGGATTTCCCACCATCGGGATCGTGATGGCGCCTACTCGTGGTAGCTAGGCAAGCCAACTTATTTACCTTTTCATCACTAAACAATTATTTTAACAATTTATAGCATCAATATAGAACATGAAATTTACTAAGAATAATAGCGGAAGTCTGATTTATAAATCTGAATCAAAACGCGGAACA